GCCGCGCCCCCGTCCGTCCGTGCCCCCACATGCGCCGGCGGGCAGCGGGGGCCGGCGTTCGCGGCGGCGTGGCGGACGCCTGGCGCGCGCGCGCGAACACACACACCAGTCGCCGCCTGACAGCTGTGCGAGCTGGGCAGGGCCAGCGTCCCGGCAGCAAGGGCGTGATGGGCAGTTGCGCGAGTGCTTCTCTCGACCGGTGGAAACGAAACAACCGACGCCCCGCGAACGCCGACCGCCGTGAGTATTGAAACAAACGTCGCCGCCGTTTGCGTTTCTGCGGCGCCGCAGCACATCCACGAAGTGCTGCGTGGATTATTTGTGGTACTTCGTTGGGTGGAGGTCGCCTCACAGGGAGATCTGTAAGTGTACTTATCTTTGTTCGCATCAGCACAGTAACATCTCGAACAGTGGAGAGCCTTGTTTCTAACGAACAGCTACGGCCTCGTTACGTCGAGGCTGTAAAACCTTCCTCTCATGCTCCTCATCTCACAACGAACACCGGGCGACGCGTAAGCGTCAAACGTGGCGCTGTGGAGGCTATTTTGCTCGCGTATTGTCGTTTTTATGCAGGCTGTGTGACAATCACGTACATTCCTTGTGCTGATCATGTCGTTCCATCACACAGCACCCATCAGATATAAACAACATTAAATCACGACAAACAATGCACGCACAATACTCAGCCTGCTCAAACTCTCCAAGGCTTTCCGAACAGTTTTTTTTCTTCTCTGTAGTACCGGCTGCATCACCTTACTTCACAACTGTCCTACACACACACCGGTTTTCACCTGAATTGCTTATTTTTTTGCTTCGTTAGAACTAGTCCGCACGCGAGCGCATATGGGCGGTGGCAGAGGCCTCGACGAGTCCATCTAGCAACGTTCGAACAAAGAAAGGACTGCGCAAATCTGACACTCCATAAAGGTCTTGTTTTTGATCTCTATCACGCCGACATGCTCTACGCTATAGAGACTATCGCTGAGATGACTACAGTCCAGAACTACCGCATTCCCCCAGACGACACCCGAGCTTGCAGGCGATCCTAACAGCTGACGTTATCAGACACACTCTCGAATATACACACACAACATCAATCATATTTTCTGGTCTTGGCGTTACGAGCCGATGTAAAACTTGCAGGAATTCTCCTTCTCACGGGCAACGTTCCAGATGGACAGAATCTTTCGGAGAGTTATTGTTGTGTCTGACATTAGCAACAGCTGCTTTGGAATTAACGGAAACTTTTCGATGACTTACTAGTATACCAGTTTTTCGCCAGAATACTTTTGGTTGTTGTTAGTATTGAACTAACCACCCGCAAGATGCTTGTACTGGGGCCCCACACGCCCGAACAGCGTCATTCTTCGCCATCGTAGAGGTTGCATCAGGAATTGCGACTGTGGCTTTCTGGTTTCGCAAAGCAAAAGAGAGAATACAGCACACAACACATCACGCGAAACAAAATCCATTAACACAATTTATGCAAAGACGATTTTTTATATCTCAACAATGCTTTTTGTAAACACACCACACACATATACAGATGCACTCCACACGACGCGTAGAAAACAAAGCAAAATTCTCGTGTGCGTTAAGAAAAAGGGTACGGGCTAAGCTACATGGTTTCGAATATTGAAGGTTCTCATATTATCTCTTTTTTTCTTGTTTTAATGCTCGTCGATTGCTTAGCGCACACATCTCACACTCACTCGAAACAACAAACGCCTAGTTGCCGATACACAATTTCAATTGTGGGTAACTTTCATTGCACACAATCAAGAACACACACAACTCTCGATCCCTATTAAAAAGCCACAAAAGAATTGACCAAAGTAATATAGGTATTTAACTTATTTCTTCTCTTTCCGTACGAAATAGTTAAATGAATGAATATGCCACTCCGAATGCGTAGAATACGATAAACTGTCATTCTGCTTAGAACAATGCGGAGAAGATTAAGGTGGTATCGTGACGCGTAAAAAAACTTACATTCAATGGTTAGTTAATATTTTTGACACGTCGCCGGAGTTATCCAGAGAGACAATAGTCCCAGTTGGAAAAAATCAAAGGCCATCAGGAAAAACGGTTTTGTAATTTTGTGACTTCTCGATCAAGAATTTCCCATCGATGTTCACTGCATGTTTTAAATGTAATGATAAAACCTTTATGATTTTGGAGGAGAAATTTTTCGTTTTATAGTTGAATTGTATATTTTGTCTAGTTTTTTAAAGCTGAATTCAAAGCTAGAACGTTGTGTAATTTTCCTGTTTTCATTTAGACCGGTATATTTCTCCTAGATGTTGTGCAAGGAAAAGTCTCTCAAATGTTTTTTTGGTGTTTTGACCCCTCGTTTCCCCTAAATGACAGGAGAATTCGAGGAAGGCGAATTCTCAAACCTCCCACCACGAACTGCGGCGTCAACGATGCTCGCCCTTTTCTAAAAATATTCTGTCGCCTTCTTCCTTAGGAAGTTGTCTGCCTGCAGTCTCATGATTCTCCCCAGATGATAACTCAGGGATATGTTTTAAATTTGTTCCCTCTTGACCTTCGACTGAACCGAATAAGTGAGTTTACTTTAATTAAAGAGTTAGTCGAGAGGGCCATAATTTAGTTACTTAGGAGCAATAAAGACTTTGAAATCCTTTATAGTGTGGATAACATTAAACTCTGCGCATTAAAAATAGTTTAGAAAATAATTTTGACTGAAGTAATGAAATTTTAAACATTCTGTTCTATCAAATGGTTGTAAAATGTGTGTTGTTTAAAGTCAATAAATCTGATAATTAAAAATGCAACTATTAAAAGAACTGGAGCGTTAAACTTCAAGAATTAATATAGAAAATATTCGACCATTATTCCTCATTGTCCGCGCACAACACGGGACACGGACGGCCAGGCACGGACGACGGCACGTTTTGGCTCAATCGATTTTTCGATATCAAGGACTCACCAAACACGGAGCTGGCTTACCACGTGCTAGATATTCCCTCTCTCCCCCTAAATTACCTGCAACTGGATTTAGTCCAATTTTTTCCCCGTTCAGTCCGGCTAATGACATCTTTTTTGTCAAAAATTCTCTCGCTTTTTCCGCAGCTATTACGTACCTTTCTTTCTAGCTACGAGAAACTGTAAAAAGGAAATAAGTAAGTAAGTACGCCATATTAATATTCTTCCATTAACCGGGTAGCTGTCCATCATTGTCACCCACACGTTACTCGGCACTGCGCGTGACATAATGCGCATCCTTCCTTTTCTTCTTCCTTTTCCGCACGGCTCCGCTCATTCATCCCCCGCCTCCAAGCACCGGCCCGGCCCGTCACTGTCAGCAATCGCTTGCTATCCACATCGCATTCACGGAACGCGGTTCGCGAGCGAGGCTGCGCTCTCATTGCCATGGTTAACGTTGTCGCTGCACTACCTGCTCCATTATTCCAGGATTTTGCGTCATAATGCAGTAAACGTAAAAGCAGTTGCGGAGCAGCAAGACAGCGCATGCAAGAGGCACCTTTTGATAGCTAGGTGACGAAGCTCTCTATACATATTTTGCTTTCAGAATCAGCTGTAGTAAAAAGATAAATAATATAAATATGAAACAGGAACTCAGAAATAGATACTTAATGCATTTGTGCACCGGGATATTGGATATTTACTTGTCATAGAGATTTCAGATTTTGATGCATTATTTTGCCTAATATGCCACTTCTCGAATGTATTCATTTTAGTTGCACCAAAGAGGCAAGTTGTTAAGCGTTTTACAAAACGTCAAATGATCCCCTTTGGGCTTTTGATGCACGCTTTGTGAGAATGTAAATTTGGTTCCTCGATATCATAAAGCCGAAATGTATTACAATGCTTTCTCCGAAGATAAGATTAGGGTCAGCCTTCTGTTAAAATAATAAAAAATAAATTGGCGAATTAGAATTTTTGAAACAGCTTTTCTACCAAGGAACTTCCTACAACAGTAGTAATTTGCGGACAGTAGAAGCTGTCCGTTCGGTTGTATTATTTTGCCCTTGATCGGATTGATTGTACGTTTTTATTATTTATTATTTATTTTATTATATTATTATTATATATTATTTATTATTATTATTATTATATAACAAGAACGGTTGGACCCACTCGTAATTTCCCAGTGTAAGCTCAAGCCCTCCTTTCAAAACGGTGTGCTCCAATAGCAGAATTCACGTCTCAAAAAAATAAAAAAGAAGGTTTACCTTGACGCAACCGCGTCTTTCCGCGCGCCGTACCGCCGGCTCCTCCGCGCGGCTTGCCAACCCCTGCAGCGCTCACCTCTACCAAGCGGCATTACCGACCACTTAGCGCGCGTCCTCACGTCGGCAAGAGCTCCTGGGCTGCGACGCGGTGCGGCGCGGGTCGAGTGTGCCGCACGGCCGAATGTTTGAGGTCACTGCGTCGGCGCTAAGGCGCATGCCTACTGTCGCAGCAACGTCGCACCCTTGCCTACGCGGCGGCCACGCGTCGGGAATACCTCTTCCGATGGACGCTGGGCCGTGCGCGACGCCAGCCTCGGGCTCGACGTGGCGGCTCCGCCGCGTTTGTGCTTTCAGCTACGCCCTGCAGGTGAGGATGGTTTGATACCTCGCTATGTCGAGTAAATGGATGCGCGAGTGCTCTCTTGACGGTGGAACGACCCCGACGCCCGGCGAACGCCGACTCGCCCGTGTTTGAACAACGTCGCCGCCCTGTTTGCGTTCTCGCGGCGCCGCCGACCTTCCCGAACGTGCTGCGTGGATTATTTGTGGTATTTCGTTGCGGTGGAGTCGCCTCACGGGAGATCTGTAAGTGTATTATGCTTTGTTGCTAGAGTAAGATGTGCTTCTGTGGAGAGCCTTGTTTCTAGAACAGCTACGCTCGTTCTGCGAGCTGTAAACCTTTTATGTTTTTACAACCGAGGGCGACGCGTACGTCAAACTGGCGCTGTGGGAGGTTTTGCTCGCGTATTGTCGTTTTTATGAGCTGTGTGACAACGTAATTCTTCTGTGCTGTTGGTCGTTCCATCCAATGCAAAAATCGATATAAAACTATTTAATGCAAAAGCACGCACAATACCAGCCTGTCAACTCTCCAAGGCTTTCCGAACATTTTTTTTTCTTCTCTGTATTCCGTCATCACCTTCTTCACAACTGTCCTACCGGTTTTCACCTTGAATTGATTATTTTTTGCTTCGTTAGAACTAGTCGCCGCTGAGCGCATATGGGCGGTGGCAGAGGCTCGACGAGTCCTCTAGCACGTTCCGAACAAAGAAAGGACTGCCGCCAAATCTGACACGTCATAAGGTCTTGTTTTTGATCTTTTCGCCGGTGTTGTTGGGTATCCTGCGATGACTCACAGTCCAGAATACGCATTCCCAGACGACACCCGAGCTTGCAGGCGATCCTACAGCTGACGTTATCGATGTTCTTGAATATACGCGTCTCATATCATATTTCTGGTCTTGGCGGTTACGAGCAGATTAAAATTGCAGGATTTCCTTCTCAACGGGAAAGTTCCCAAGATGACAGATCTTTCGTGAGATGTTTTGTTGTGTCTGACTTAGCACAGTGTTGAGAATTAACGCGAAAATCCATTTACTCGACATAGCGAGGTATCAAACCATCCTCACCTGCAGGGCGTAGCTGAAAGCACAAACGCGGCGGAGCCGCCACGTCGAGCCCGAGGCTGGCGTCGCGCACGGCCCAGCGTCCATCGGAAGAGGTATTCCCGACGCGTGGCCGCCGCGTAGGCAAGGGTGCGACGTTGCTGCGACAGTAGGCATGCGCCTTAGCGCCGACGCAGTGACCTCAAACATTCGGCCGTGCGGCACACTCGACCCGCGCCGCACCGCGTCGCAGCCCAGGAGCTCTTGCCGACGTGAGGACGCGCGCTAAGTGGTCGGTAATGCCGCTTGGTAGAGGTGAGCGCTGCAGGGGTTGGCAAGCCGCGCGGAGGAGCCGGCGGTACGGCGCGCGGAAAGACGCGGTTGCGTCAAGGTAAACCTTCTTTTTTATTTTTTTGAGACGTGAATTCTGCTATTGGAGCACACCGTTTTGAAAGGAGGGCTTGAGCTTACACTGGGAAATTACGAGTGGGTCCAACCGTTCTTGTTATATAATAATAATAATAATAAATAATATATAATAATAATATAATAAAATAAATAATAAATAATAAAAACGTACAATCAATCCGATCAAGGGCAAAATAATACAACCGAACGGACAGCTTCTACTGTCCGCAAATTACTACTGTTGTAGGAAGTTCCTTGGTAGAAAAGCTGTTTCAAAAATTCTAATTCGCCAATTTATTTTTTATTATTTTAACAGAAGGCTGACCCTAATCTTATCTTCGGAGAAAGCATTGTAATACATTTCGGCTTTATGATATCGAGGAACCAAATTTACATTCTCACAAAGCGTGCATCAAAAGCCCAAAGGGGATCATTTGACGTTTTGTAAAACGCTTAACAACTTGCCTCTTTGGTGCAACTAAAATGAATACATTCGAGAAGTGGCATATTAGGCAAAATAATGCATCAAAATCTGAAATCTCTATGACAAGTAAATATCCAATATCCCGGTGCACAAATGCATTAAGTATCTATTTCTGAGTTCCTGTTTCATATTTATATTATTTATCTTTTTACTACAGCTGATTCTGAAAGCAAAATATGTATAGAGAGCTTCGTCACCTAGCTATCAAAAGGTGCCTCTTGCATGCGCTGTCTTGCTGCTCCGCAACTGCTTTTACGTTTACTGCATTATGACGCAAAATCCTGGAATAATGGAGCAGGTAGTGCAGCGACAACGTTAACCATGGCAATGAGAGCGCAGCCTCGCTCGCGAACCGCGTTCCGTGAATGCGATGTGGATAGCAAGCGATTGCTGACAGTGACGGGCCGGGCCGGTGCTTGGAGGCGGGGGATGAATGAGCGGAGCCGTGCGGAAAAGGAAGAAGAAAAGGAAGGATGCGCATTATGTCACGCGCAGTGCCGAGTAACGTGTGGGTGACAATGATGGACAGCTACCCGGTTAATGGAAGAATATTAATATGGCGTACTTACTTACTTATTTCCTTTTTACAGTTTCTCGTAGCTAGAAAGAAAGGTACGTAATAGCTGCGGAAAAAGCGAGAGAATTTTTGACAAAAAAGATGTCATTAGCCGGACTGAACGGGGAAAAAATTGGACTAAATCCAGTTGCAGGTAATTTAGGGGGAGAGAGGGAATATCTAGCACGTGGTAAGCCAGCTCCGTGTTTGGTGAGTCCTTGATATCGAAAAATCGATTGAGCCAAAACGTGCCGTCGTCCGTGCCTGGCCGTCCGTGTCCCGTGTTGTGCGCGGACAATGAGGAATAATGGTCGAATATTTTCTATATTAATTCTTGAAGTTTAACGCTCCAGTTCTTTTAATAGTTGCATTTTTAATTATCAGATTTATTGACTTTAAACAACACACATTTTACAACCATTTGATAGAACAGAATGTTTAAAATTTCATTACTTCAGTCAAAATTATTTTCTAAACTATTTTTAATGCGCAGAGTTTAATGTTATCCACACTATAAAGGATTTCAAAGTCTTTATTGCTCCTAAGTAACTAAATTATGGCCCTCTCGACTAACTCTTTAATTAAAGTAAACTCACTTATTCGGTTCAGTCGAAGGTCAAGAGGGAACAAATTTAAAACATATCCCTGAGTTATCATCTGGGGAGAATCATGAGACTGCAGGCAGACAACTTCCTAAGGAAGAAGGCGACAGAATATTTTTAGAAAAGGGCGAGCATCGTTGACGCCGCAGTTCGTGGTGGGAGGTTTGAGAATTCGCCTTCCTCGAATTCTCCTGTCATTTAGGGGAAACGAGGGGTCAAAACACCAAAAAAACATTTGAGAGACTTTTCCTTGCACAACATCTAGGAGAAATATACCGGTCTAAATGAAAACAGGAAAATTACACAACGTTCTAGCTTTGAATTCAGCTTTAAAAAACTAGACAAAATATACAATTCAACTATAAAACGAAAAATTTCTCCTCCAAAATCATAAAGGTTTTATCATTACATTTAAAACATGCAGTGAACATCGATGGGAAATTCTTGATCGAGAAGTCACAAAATTACAAAACCGTTTTTCCTGATGGCCTTTGATTTTTTCCAACTGGGACTATTGTCTCTCTGGATAACTCCGGCGACGTGTCAAAAATATTAACTAACCATTGAATGTAAGTTTTTTTACGCGTCACGATACCACCTTAATCTTCTCCGCATTGTTCTAAGCAGAATGACAGTTTATCGTATTCTACGCATTCGGAGTGGCATATTCATTCATTTAACTATTTCGTACGGAAAGAGAAGAAATAAGTTAAATACCTATATTACTTTGGTCAATTCTTTTGTGGCTTTTTAATAGGGATCGAGAGTTGTGTGTGTTCTTGATTGTGTGCAATGAAAGTTACCCACAATTGAAATTGTGTATCGGCAACTAGGCGTTTGTTGTTTCGAGTGAGTGTGAGATGTGTGCGCTAAGCAATCGACGAGCATTAAAACAAGAAAAAAAGAGATAATATGAGAACCTTCAATATTCGAAACCATGTAGCTTAGCCCGTACCCTTTTTCTTAACGCACACGAGAATTTTGCTTTGTTTTCTACGCGTCGTGTGGAGTGCATCTGTATATGTGTGTGGTGTGTTTACAAAAAGCATTGTTGAGATATAAAAAATCGTCTTTGCATAAATTGTGTTAATGGATTTTGTTTCGCGTGATGTGTTGTGTGCTGTATTCTCTCTTTTGCTTTGCGAAACCAGAAAGCCACAGTCGCAATTCCTGATGCAACCTCTACGATGGCGAAGAATGACGCTGTTCGGGCGTGTGGGGCCCCAGTACAAGCATCTTGCGGGTGGTTAGTTCAATACTAACAACAACCAAAAGTATTCTGGCGAAAAACTGGTATACTAGTAAGTCATCGAAAAGTTTC